AGCAGAAGTGGAATATCTGCTCCAGCATGATTTCATTCGGCCAAGTCAAAGTACTTGGAGCTCTCCGTGTTTGTTAGTGCCAAAACCAGATGGAACCTGGAGATTGTGCGTGGATTACAGGAAACTGAACAAGAACACTACAGTGGACGTTTTTCCTTTACCCTTGTTGGAAGAATGTATAGAGTCCATAGGTCATGCCGAATATGTAAGTAAGCTTGATTTGTCAAAAGGGTATTATCAAATTCCATTAACAGAGTATGCTAGAGAGGTTACTGCTTTTGTTACACCTGATGGTGCGTATGAATTTAATGTCATGCCATTCGGTTTGAGAAATGCACCTGCTACTTTTCAAAGACTTATGAATTTCTTACTCAAGGATGTGCCAGATTGTAGGGCCTACCTTGATGACATTGTTTTGTACAGTAAGAATTGGGCCGATCATCTCTTAGGCCTTAAGAACTTGTTTACAGTGTTAGAAAACGCAAAGTTAACCATAAATATGAATAAGTGTAGTTGGGCAAGAGGTACGATAACTTATCTTGGACACGAGGTAGGCCAAGGTAAGATTATCCCCTTACAAGATAAGATTCAAGCCATTGTGGACTACCCAGTGTTGACCAATAAGAAAGGAGTCCAACGGTTTATTGGTATGTGTGCATACTATAGGCGTTATTGTAGAAATTTTTCAACAGTAGCTGCTCCTTTGACAAACTTGTTACGCAAGCAAGTAAAGTTTCAGTGGACACAAGATTGTCAGAATGCTTTTCAGAACCTAAAGGGCATATTGTCCACCTCACCTATTCTTGCTAGTCCCCAATTTGATAAACCATTTATATTACACATTGATGCGTCAGATGTTGGGATAGGTGCTGTGCTTATTCAAGTTGGTTTAGACCAGATTGAGCATCCTGTGTATTACTATTCCAGAAAATTTAATGCAGCTCAGAGAAATTATTCCGTGGTAGAAAAGGAGGCGTTGGGTCTTATATTGTCAATCAAGAAGTTTGAGATTTACTTATCAGGAAATAAAGTGTTAGTATTTACAGACCACAACCCCCTTATCTTTATCAATATGATGAAAGTCAAGAACCAACGAATTCTGCGATGGTCATTGTTTTTGCAGGAATTTAATGTAGAAATCAAACATATTCCAGGCAGACAAAATGTCATTGCTGATGCTTTGTCAAGAAGTTTTGATGTACCATAAATGAAATGTTTCTTTTTACCTAACATTTTTACTTCTGAAAAAATGCCATTGATCTTCAATCCATTGCATTTTTTTTCTTGGAGGTGGAAGTGTTACGTACCCTTATAAGATACGTAAGTGAATATATTAATATGTACATTTATAATTGTATGTAAATTACAAGCATGTATATTGTTATACTTATATGTTCTATGCAAATGCACATTCATGTTACAGTGTTGGCGTTAGGCCCAGCGTATCGTGGGAATGATTGTTTATTTCTTTGTGTGATCAGTTTTCCCACGGGAACTAATGATTTATATGTGATCATCAGTGGGTAACAGAGTGAAATAATAATTGAGTGAACTGTATCTGGCAAATTGTCGTGGGATCGTCCGTTGCTGGGGTGTGCATGCCATTATGCTATTCTGTATGCATATTTTAATTACTATGTAAAGAAACACGTACTTTTGTTGTCTATATCAATATGTACTAATTATTCATTAAGTTAGTTTAAGATTACTCTTGTCACAATGTAGTGCTCCATTGTTGAAATAATAAATATTGTAACTTTGGCAATTTATTCGCGGGGCGAGGCAATCTCTTTTGATTCTCGCGTGATTTTGTTTAGTAGCTGAGCAGAAACCGGGGAGATAACACTTGTTGGATTAAGTCATTCTTTTATTCTAGCCATATAATTATTCTTAGTATTGATTTAATGTCTGGAAGTTACAGTGATATTTTTAATGTGATATATTGTGACCATATAATCATCTGTTTGCCTTTGAGATTTATTTAATATAAATGATATATATGCTTAGTCTTTATTCTTCAGTCCTATGAAGATTCTATTTTATGCTCATTACCAATTCAAGGGGTTATACTGGTGATTCGCTATTGAGAACAGCAGTTGTGTCGTATCCCTAGACTTATTAAAGTTTGGCTGCTGTAGGATCACGAGCCGTAACGTACGATAGGTAACAACACACAGGATTCATTGTCAATAAAACATTTTCACATTTCATTTATTTATTATGCACCCCATACCCATCCTGTGGGCGGCAGTGGAAAAGGTTACAGAGGCACATCATGGGTTCAGGAACTGAACACCGTTGTTCGTTTAGCAAAGCAAGTGACAATCTTGTTAAACTAGGTACACAGTTGGACAGTGGTAGCATGCATATACATATATATTTACATGTACACAAATACATATCAATAATCTTTTTATATCACAAGTGATTTAAGAAGAGGCTCACAACAATCTCTATTGGCAGTTTACATTTGCCATTAGAAGGCAGTTTACATTTAAGGTGAGTCTCACACAGTTAATAATCCTGCTTTTTATTAACACATTTAGGTACATCTGGATTTGTGCAGCTGCCCTAGATTATGAAGGGGAGTACAGAGTGTCAAAAAACTAGCTGTGATGCTAAAAATCCCCATCGCACAGGATGATTAGTCATACAAAGGCATGTGATAAGTAGTCTACACTAGCAGATTCTAGGTTCATTATGAGGATATCATCATGAACACAAGAGTGAATAAGGTTCTAAAAGTGAAAAAGTTCCCATCTCGCAGAATGGTTGGTCATACAGGGCGTGGAAATTTCTTAATGTTGTGAACAAGCTTTCTTTCATATTTTCTTTATGGCTGATCTGATTTCCTAGGTGGTGAGTTTAATGTCCGTTTTGTATATCTCATAATTCCGTTTGTTGTGATGACAATAGTAGCAGCTGGTTGTTGTGAGGTAAAATTGTGTTCGGTATCCAACACGCGCAAATTTTAGGTGCATTATGAGGATATCCTCAAGAACACGAGAGTGAATACAGTAATTGCAAAGTTCCATGCCAACGGGTTTGAATGGTCTAATAATTGGGCATTCGGTGATGTAGTGTGAGAGATCATGCCCCAGTTACTCGAGAAATTAGTTAGAAACACTCTATGGACATTCAAACCCACATTTCCGACTTGATAGAAGTCTTTTTGATTTTCGCAATAAGGCAATAAGAGCGAATTCTACCTAAAGATTGGGGCACGTTTCCCCTGTGTCGCCCACCGACACAGGAACTAGTAGCTTCCTCGAGGACCGTAACTCACACCCGAAATCCCGAAGGGAGGTAGAGTAGAACAAGGAGCTCTCACATATCTTCAGCCTGTATAACTATTCCTAGGCTAGGATATCCCGTACACACTGTCAAAATTATCCAGGCTCTCAGTCGCCTCCATACGTCAGAACTATCACCATGGGGCTATAGTATCCCTGGAATTATCTTAGCCGTTGTTTGGTGTAAACACACTCTCCCTCCTAAGAGAACGTCGCCTTTTGACGTACACTCTAAGGCCAAAAATTGTCGTACTAGTGAATGGTAGCGGCTCGCAAAATTGACATAGTGTCCCATTTTTTGTTTTGGGTCCTCTGGTAGGTTAGGATAAGGGCACTTTAGTACGACAGTTTCTTGGCGTTGGGAAACCTTAGGAGTCAACCTTTATCGACGTATGGTAAAATTTCTCTAGCCTAGCCTGTCCTTCACATAGTCATGCAGTGTATATTTGTTATTAACTTTCATCTTAAGCGTTGGTCATCAATATTATATAAATAACAGAGAGCAGGAGACACAGAAACACAGCATGTAAAATAGACTTTAATGAAATGAAGTACATACTTCGCAGTTGCTGCATTCTTTTACTAGCTATTGCTAGTTCAAATTTGAAACTGGCTCCTTGGGGCCTATTAAACTCAAACGTTTAATTTACTGCATTCACTCACTTAAGTGTCATAAAACTAATGAACTCAGCATCCATTCGAAAACAAAATTACTGAGGGTGTCTTGATTCATTTTATAGTTACATTAACCGTAACCTCACATAATTAGTAAGAACACGAACAGAAATCTTAAGCCATCACTAGGATTTGGAAATCACCTTTTAATTCCACCAAACGTGAACACTCATAGTAAAATGCAATGATAAAATAAATCACGGAAATATTGGCACAGTCGAAATGAGTAAAAGAATAGCCTAATGCCGTTCCTCAGAGGTTGATCCACTCTACCTGTTGACAACTACGGGTAACCAGCGTGTTACCCCTAGACCCTCTGCAAATGGTCTAGGGGTATTTATAATTATTAATATTTCTTAAAACACTTAACTTAGATCTACCCCGACCAGCCTATGTCTGTCCCAAACTCTAGACAATTTCCCCCCTGCAAATTTGGGTAAGCCTAACCCCAACCGTCTGGCCTCCAACTTTGGACAGACAAACAAACAGAAAGACTAACAAACACTGATATGTATATACTTTTCCTAAATGAAATATTATTATTAGTAGTAGTATTATTATAATATACATACATTCCCTCTTATAGGTATAGATTGCATGGTGTGACCTCCGTTTGCTTCCTGTCTTTGTCGAGACCACTAGAGATAGTGTCACTCAGGTAAATTCAGGTAACATTGGGCGTGTTCACATTAATGGCATTTGTGGGTTTTTTAACAGGAACTAATTTCGCCTATAAATTGCATTTATTTTTTTATTGTTCTAATGTAGACAACGTTTACTTCTTAATATATCTATATTCAATTAGAAGGTAAAAAAAAGTTATTTAAAATATGATTTAGTGGGAGGTGTTGTAGTAATTTACGTTAGTGTGAGAAGACGGGGCTGCCGTCACAACACCGTACAGTACCTGCCAGACGTAAAACCCCTAACTCTGCCCTAACTTATAATTAACCAACAATGAAACAATATTGCTTCTTTGCGTGATATTTGAACTAACATGTTTAAAAGGACTAATAATATCAGAAGATCCTATGATATTCATAAGGGTGACTATATGAACGTGTACGATATGTTGAGGAGAGCAGGTGACAGGCCAAGACGTCAACCCCCAACATAACACACTCCACCTGCGTGTGCGGCCACGTGAGCACCTCTCTCTTGACCTGCTGACTCGAGGCTCCTCTCTCATACGTTCCTCACTGATTGTCAATGCGGGATAGTGACGGTGGAAGCGATTATCTCTTTTTAAACGTTGTGATACCAAGTTCAGAAAATGTGTCCTAGGCTTGGTAGTGATTGAAGACTTATTGTAAATTGTAATAGGTAGAGTTGGAGGAGTAGCAGTGGTCTTGTGTCACCATGACGGTGGTGGCCCCGGCGCCGCGTCCCAACTCCCTGTTGCCGCGGGCGCCGGCACCCTGGCGTCCCATGGCAGCGCTGGGGCTGCCTGCGGCCGTCCAGAGCCTCCTGCAGCAGCTGGGGGGTACATTCCACACTTACCATCCATTCCGGCGTGCTAGGACTGAGAGCGAGGGCGACGCCAACATTCCTCGCAGCCCCGCACCTCTCCTGCTGTTGAGTCGTAACGCCCTGGTGGCGTCCTTTGGTTTGCGGAAGCTGCGGCGGCTCTTGCTGTGGGCGGGAGCACCGCGGGCGGTGTCCAGGCTGGTGTCTACGGTGGGTGCTGGGGAGTGCGAGGCCCTGGGCGCCGCCCCTCTCACCGACGTCTTCGCTCAACCTTTCTTCCACCGAGCTGTTACCTGGCGGGTCACCTGTTGCCTCGACCGTCAGCCATACCTCACCACCTACGCCGCCACCTCCGCCATCCACGGCTACTGCGTCCCCTGGGTAAGTCCACCCTCCTGGCGCCGTGGTCAGCCCCTCCTGGCGCCGTGGTCAGCTCCTCCTGGCGCCAGGGCTGACCTGCCTAAGCATCCTCCCTGTACTGCTAGGCTCTTACTTTCTTCTGGCGTCGCAACAGCTAAGGTGTACTTGGAGTGAATGATTTTATTTACATAAGAGTACAAAGGGTTTTGTAGCAATAAATTATATAAGAGATTCATGCTTGTTCGTCAATAAACACGAATAAAGTGATTAAATTGTTAGTGGTCAGTTTCCGTAGTCAGTAATATGCACAGCGTTTCCGGCAAGTCTTAAAGCTAACGTGATTGAGATATCTGGAGAGAATTTGTTCCTATGTAAAGTTAAAAACAAGTACAGATAAGGTACTTGTAGTGTAAGTACAGATAAGGTATTTAAATGTTTTGGATATATTAAAGTAACAAGGTTAACTGCAGGTACTGCTGTTCTAATTACCATGACATTATTGCAGTAGCACTAGGGAAAGGTGGTAATGTGTTAAATCTTATTATAGTACAATGTTAAAATTTGTAGAACAGTTGGACGGGATACTGAAAGCCTAATGAGGAAATATGATGTTTCGTTAATTTTAAATGAGGTTTGCACTCGAATGGTTTAACACGCGGGTTACATTTAATTTTAATTTTGTTTTAATTGATATATACATTTATATGGACGATAGTTCGACAATCTATTTTGTATACTGGGTAATGGTGGTCACAGCCAGTAAGTTATTAGGCTGTGGTGGCTGTTGAGGCTGTTGACACCTATATATAAAGACAGTAAATAAATAACATTTAACAATTGAAACGTAATCATGCTGGTATTTAAGCGTCGTTTTTGGACCCCGCCATGACAACGCGTCTGTCACAATCTGCTAAGTTTACGCTCTCATGAGGTAGAGGGACACGACGTTAATGAAAGAAAACGTAGTTACCTTTCTGGGCCTAATAGTCATTGCGGCCATAGCCAGTTAAATCATGGTTAAAGGGTTTAACTTTTACATTAATTACAGTTTTGGTTAAGTTAGCGTAATTATAACAGGTTACAGTTACAGCTCCATGGGCGAAGCAATATCCCTATGTTGTGAACTAGTTAGTTTTAATGTGCCTCAAGTAATGTATATCTACAAGGGAAGTGATCTAATTACTTTACGGTATCTAACGTATGTAGTCACAGGTTACATGTCTGAATTATTTAAAATGGGCAAACTTGAGATACTTGGCAAGGATTTTGGGTAATATGTCATCCAGGATAAAATAAGTATTTCTTGAACATCAATGTATGTAACTCATCTCAAACTGTAAGTGTAACTCAAGTGTAACTGTACACTCAATGTAACTCATCTTCAATGTGTGTACCTTTAACTGAATCTAAATCTATCAGTGACAGAAGTCGTCTCAACGATGTATTCATATTTAGTTGCGGAGTGATGCATGTAAGATGTGTGAAGAGTTTTGCTGAAGAGCCTAAGAGTAGAAATTTTAAATTATTCTGACGCTATTGGATGACCCATAGACATAGGGCTCTCTCTGCATAGTAGTACGATGGAAGATGGAATAACTAGTGTAGATTTAACTTTCTCTGGTGTATCTAGGTATAGCCTAAACAGTAATAGCTAAGTTTGTGAAAGCGTCCCGACCCTAACCTCAAAATATCCAAAGTTTTCAACATTAAAAAGTCGACTTCAAAGTCGACTTTTTAAAACTACCAATTAAAAACAAAAAGTTCATCTTCAACGGTGAACTGCGCTTGATAAATGTACAGTGCGTAAATTGCAGCAGGCGTGTCTGTGTATATATATAGACGTCAGTGACCTTGTAGCTACTGTGCCAGATAAATGTTTATTGGTCGTTGTGCGTATGTGTGTGTGCATTCAGCTTTTGTGTCTAGGGACTGTGGCGTACCTCACAACTTGCTCCAGCTTCGTACTGTGTAACGAGATAAAACTAAGGATTGAGAGCTGATACCCCATTTTCCAGAATTGACCTGACATTATAATATACCTATGTTCAGATTACTAAAGGTAGTTCTTAGGTTTGTCAACCTTGCATATGCAGCAGCAGAAAATGCTAGTTTGTTGACGTTTTCTGGTGACGAGTTCGGTGAACTTGATGCTGTGTACCGTTTCCATTACACAACTCCACAACTTTGCACTTGCATGAGTTAAACTCTAGGATCCATTTGTTGAACCATACTTTCATTTCACCAGGTATCTTGTTTTCTACAATGTGTGCGCGCCTGTTTTTGTCTAATCTATGGATGTATCATCTTCTGGTCGTATTCAGAATACATTTTGGAAATAGCAATTCATTGCCAGATTTATTAGTTTAATTTGATCTGGAACCTAATAGATGACAATTATTGGTCTTCTAATAAAAATAATTTGAGTGCTAATTGGTGACATAAAGATGCGTTCTGAATAGGCCTTGAAGTGTGGTATATGTGTGTGTGTGTGTGTGTGTGGCATTGAGACAAGCGCAGGTGAACAGCTGAAGATAGAGAGAAATAACAGGACACGAGGCCGCGGACCCGGCCCATGTAAACATTGCCACTGGTGGCTGGCTGGGCTCCCTGGCAGGATGGTGAGGCTTGCAACTTCATGTTGTTGGCTCTAAGCAAGTGGTTTTTAATCTTCAGAGTTATTTGTTATATCGAAGGGAAGAGGAACTATCAGAAGGCGCCAAACCATTACGCGAGACCGTCGCTCTACCGTCCAGCCCAAGTGGTAGTATTATATTGAAGGCTTGTAAGCTGTTTTAGGCGAATTTTTTCATAATATCTTAAGCTCGCATTGTAAACTGTTTAACTGGCAAATGTTTTCCTGGTAAATTTGGTTCTCATGTGGAGCCGGACGAGGTTTATAAAGTTTTCCACGTGTTGTGTAAACTATTACACCAATATGATGTTGCAAGTTATCCTTATCTTGCGTGGGAATATAACGCTGCAAGTACTACCACTCTGCAAGGACGTTATTTACATATATTTTTATGGTAAAACATTAAGAATTGGTTGAAGAATGCACACCATGTACCAATCTGTGTAATAAACGGATATATTCAGATCATGTATATACTTGTAGTAAGGTCTTAACTCTGCAGCAAGCAACATTTAATTAATATTAGTGCCCTAAATGGTTTGGATTCTCTCGGCAGGCACAGTGAGACCCCCATGTTAGGTTAACCTTTAGATCTCTGGCTCTGCGTCAGGGTTAGAGAAGTCATGACGATATCCTGGATGTGTGGCCATTGAAGGCTGGGCGGAGTGTTTAGTGACGACGCTGGTGCATGGGAGGCTGATGGCACTGGGCGCCATAAGGACCGGGGTGCCATATTGGGACAGCTCACGACATAGCGGTGTGCTTCTCACTTGTCTCTTGGTGAGTTGCGTGGCGGGTACTGGGTCTATATATGACCCTGTATTAGCATTACCGGATCTTCAATAAGCTGTGTAGCTAGTGTGCGCATTTATTTTATTGCTTTGTTTAGTAACGTAGTCTGTGAAGGAATCAGTTTGTTGCAAAAAAAAAAAAAAAGTTATGTTGAAACAGCTTTACTTCACTATATATAAATTATATTCAAATTAATAAAGGCTTGATTCACAAAATGTTCCGAAGAATACTTTTATAGGGTTTGTTAATTTAGTGTTATTGTCATATTGTCTTGAGTGCATCGTTAAGTCTGGTCAAACGTTGTTGTTGTTGTTTTAGATTTAGCTACTCAGAACGAAGTGTCCATGTAGCACGGGCTATGGTGAGCCCGTAAACAAACGTTGACAGGAATATAGAGCTGTAGCAGTGTGTTGTTGACCTCAAGTGGACTGACTGAGGTGGGAGGTGTCCGTCAAGGTCAGCACTCCCTTACCGGACGCTCCTACCTTGGTCCCCGCCCACCTAGTCATCTCGTCTGTCCTCTGTCCACACCTGTCCGGTTAGCCTCTGGATGAGAGCCCTCCACATGTTCCTGTTTTATCCGTTAAGACCATGTAAGTGCCCCGAATTTGGCTAACCATCTGGTGCGTTGTTTTAGTGCAGTTTCTATTATTAGAAATCTATTCAAGGATCCCCTTGGTCCACTCCGGGTTTTGGTTTGTTTACTAACAATTCTGCTCATTTATACTTATCGGGGATGTTTGGCAATCAAAATCAGCGTTCATAATGAGAGAGAATGTCAGGCTGCCGTGAGCTGCAGTGGAATGCTTCCATTCTCTATAATAGGCTGCTTGGCGGCCGCCTGCAAATTTAGTCGCGAACGATATACAGGATTTAACATTTTATGGCAAAACAATTTAAATTAAAAATGTCTGGTAAATTTGAGATTTATATACTTGACTGAAGTTGAGCTTAAATAACGTGTTTAAATCACACAAATTATCAGGCGCCTCTTACCTCATTGATATTATTGAACTAGCACGATTTATCTACATTGGTAAAGGTGGTGATAACTGTTACATGCATAGGCGCTCGCAACGGAGTTGAGGGCATGGCACGTCCCGTCTACCTTGTTGCCCCACGAGTGATCCATGACACCTCTCCACCTCCTCTGTGTGCCTAGCGATGCCTGGCCTGCCTGATAAGTATAGCAGGGTGGCAGAAAGTTGGAGCGAAGTAGTAGTGTGTGACGCCCTCTCAGAGCTGCGGGAGGCAGGGGATGGTAGCCTGACGCCCTCCCAGAGACTCCAGGCCAGATTGCGGGATAAGAACGATTGCATGACGCCTTCCCTCGGCTAGGGAGGAGGAAGGGGATGGGAGAAGGGAGAGTGGGTGAGGTATAGGGTGGAGCAGCAGCAGCAGCAGCAGCTAGGGTGAGCATGGGAGCGGCACCTGTCCTGCCTGAGGCACCCACGCCATGATGTCATGGGCGTCTCATGCATTTTGTGTACTCGATACTGTTTCTCTCCCACGTTTGGTGTTTTATTGCACTTGTTTTGGTCGCTCGTATTGACGTACTTGTTTATATCAAATTTATAGTGACGTTTCTTCCGTTATG